GGTGGCTCACGCCTGTCATCCTAGCACCTTGAGAGTCTGAGGCAGGAGAATTGCTTGAACCCAGGAGTTCAAGACCAGCTTGGACAACTTGGCGAGACCTCATCTCTACAATAAATTAAAAAATTAGCCAGTTGTGGTGGCATACACCTGTAGTTCTAGCCATTTAGAAGGCTGGGGCAGAAAGATTGTCTGAGCCCAGCAAGTCGAGGTTGTGATAGCCTTGAATGTGCCACTGTAGTCCAGCCTGGGTGACAGAGTGAGACTCTGACTCAAAAAAAAAAGTCCAAGGAGCTGTATGCAATGTATAGTACAGTCCTACTCGCAACAGAAAGAAAGAGGGAGATTATAAGAAGATGTAGGATTAAAAAAACACAAAGACCTCGGAGAATTACAAAAGTGATTGAACTAAATTCTGTGTGGCCTCAAATCCCCTAGCTGAGGGACTGCCCTCTAGCACCCTTCTGATAATCATCCAGCCAAAGTGCTAGCGAGCTCCATCTGATGGCAATACACTTGGAGTTGAGACACCAGCAATCATTGCTGTACAATTTTTAAACACTTTCACTGGTTTTATTTTTAACTTCACTGCAACCCCATGAGGAAAGTAGGGCAGGTATTACTTTCCTGATCTCACATATGAGGAAACCAAGATATTCTAAGCTGAAATAACTTTCCATAGTAAAGTTCTGTGACTTGCCCAAGCTGGTGCAATTAATTAGTATTAAAGTTAAGAGTAAACTTTGGCCTCTCCACCTCCTTGTGTTGCACTGAAGAGTGGGATCGGAATCACATATTTGACTTATACGATTAACTTTTTTAAAAAATAGACCGGACCAGGCTCGGTGGCTTAGCCTGTAATCCCATCACTTTGGGAAGCTGAGGCGAGTGGATTGTCTGAGCCCGCAGGTTCGAGGCTAGCCTGGGGAACTTGGCGAGACCTCGTCTCTACAATAAATTAAAAATTAGCTGGACGTGGTAGCATGCACCTGTAGTTCCAGCTACTTGGAAGGCTGAAGTGGAAGGATCGCCGGAGCCCAGCAGGTCGACGCTGGGGTGACCATGAGTGTGCCACTGCACTCCAGCCTGGACGATGGAGTGATACTCCAACTCAAAAAAAAAAAAAAAATAGACTATATCTTCTAGAGCAGTTTCAGGTTCAAAGCAAAACTGAATGGAAAGTAGTTCCATCATGTGCAGCCTCCCCTATTATCAACATTCTCAGAGGAATGGTACATTGTGGGAATCCATGAACCTACCTGACCCATCATCACCTACAGCCCATAGTTTATATTAAGCTTCACTCTTGGAGTTGTATCCACCATCATATGATGTTTTTTTTTAACTTTTAGCTCATATTTTTTTAGCTTCTCATTATGGAGAACTTCAAGCATATAAAAACAGATATACATTAATGAACTTCTTGTTCACTCAGGCTCAATAATTATCAACTCACAGTTAATATCATTTTCATTTAAAAATCTGTTTACCTTCCCCACCTCCATATTGTTTTGAAGCAAATTCCTGGCATAATATTTTATATTTAAATATTTTAGAATGCACTTCTAGACAATACTGACTCTTTTTTTTTTTTTTGAGTTGGAGTCTCACTCTGTTGCCCAGACTGGAGTGCAGTGGCCGCTCCCGGCCACTGCCGCCTCCACCTGCTGGGCTCTGGCGAGCCTTCTGCCTCAGCCTTCCAAGTAGCTGGAACTACAGGCGCGTGCTTCCACGCCCAGCTACGTTTTTGATTTATTGTAGAGATGAGGTCTCGCCAAGTTGCCCAGGCAGGTCTCGAACCCGCGGGCTCAGGCAATCCACTCACCTCAGCCTCCCAAAGGCGCGGGATTACAGGCTGAGCCACAGAGCCCGGCGACTCTTTTTTACTGTAACTATAAAACCATTATCACATCTGAAAAATTAATAATATATTAATATCAGTGGTGTTTTTTTGTTTGAATAGGAGTCTTTTTGTTGTTTTGTTTTGTTTTGTTTTGTTTTTTGAGTTAGAGTCTCACTCTGTCGCCCAGACTGGAGTGCAGTGGCCGCTCCTGGTCACCGCAGCCTCGACCTGCTGCGCTCCGGAGATCCTTCCGCCTCCGCCTTCTGAGTAGCCAGAATTACAGGCGCGTGCTACCACGCACAGCTGATTTTTTGATTTATTGTAGAGATGAGGTTTTGCTGCCCAGGCGGGTCTTGAACCCGCGGGCTCAGGCAATCCACTCACCTCAGCCTCCCAAAGGCGCAGGATTACAGGC